CCCCGAATGACCCCAGAGTGACCCCAAATGACCCGAGTGACCCCAAATGACCCCAGAATGACCCCAAATGACCCCAGAGTGACCCCGAGTGACCCCAAATGACCCCAGAGTGACCCCAAATGACCCCAGAGTGACCCCAAATGACCCCGAGTGACCCCAAGATCTGAGGGAAAGGCAGGAATGGCGGGAGAGGGAAAACCCGGGAAAAACCAAAGGGAATCTGGGGGGAAAAATGGGGAAAATGGGAAAAGGAGTGGAAAGGTGGAACTGGAAATGGGGGGAAAGAAGGGAAAAAGAATCAGGATAAAAAGGGGAAAAACGGAAAAAAGCCCAGGAAAGCCTCAGGAGAAGCGGGAAAGGGTGGGAAAAGCCCCGGAAAAGCGGGAAATCTCCAGGAAAAGCAGGAGGAAATGGGAATTATTCCAAGAGGCCGGAGCCGCTGCCGAGGTTAAAAATAATCTTTGTTGTGGGGGAGGGGTGGAGGCCGAGCCCCGGGCTCGGGGAATTTGGGGAGTTTGGGGAGTTTTTGGGAATTTGGGGGTCACTGGGAGCCGCCGGAGTCGAAGGAGCCGAAGAAGGGGGGCCAGGGGGGGCCCTGGGGGTAGAACTGCTGCCAGCCCGGGGGGCTCTGCGGGAACGGAGACAAATGCCGGGATCAGCGCCCCAAAATCCCGGGGATTCCACCCAAATCCCAAACCCCTCCCGGTGCCCGAAGTCCCGCCCTTTGTCACCCCCCAAATCCCCGTTTTCCTCCCCAAATCGCGTTTTTCTCGCCGGATTTCCCCCCCTTTTTCTGCAATTTCTCAATTTTCCGCCCGGCTTCCCCCCCTTTTTCCCATGATTTCCCTTTTTTCCCCCCCAGATCCCATTAAATACTCCCAAAATTCTCTTTTGCCCCCCAAATTCCCTTTATATCCCAATTCCCTCCCAAATCCCTTTAAATCCCCCCAAATTCCCATTTCCCCTCCCCCACCCAAATCCCCATTTCCCCTCCCCCACCCCAGTCCCC